ACTCAACAGCGCTGCTGGGAGGAGACAGAAGCGGGTGCATCTGAGAACAGGGTCCTGGCACCAGGGCAAGCATCCCCGTGCTCTGCTGGCTCCCACTGGGCGAGTCTGTCCCTTCCCAAGCAGTGAGAGACACCCCTGAGCTCCCCCAGTTGGGCTACTCTGTGCCCTCAGTACCTGATAAACTACATGGGAATGTTCCAGACAGGGACAGCCAAGATTCAGGCAGCTGCCACAGGGCAGGGGGGCTTGTAACAGGTGCAGCCTCCATGGCTCGGGGCTGTTGTGTTGAGAGGTCTCCAGGATGAGGTGAGAGATGAGAATCTGACTTTAGGCTCTCAGAAGGCTATTATATTATATTATATTATATTATATTATATTATATTATATTATATTATATTATATTATATTATATTATATTATATTTCATATCATATATCATATCATATCATATCTCACATCATATCAAAAGAAATTATATACTAAAACTATACTAAAGAAAGAAAAAGGATATAGACAAAAGGCTGGAAAAGAACGAATAATAAAAACCCATGATTGACCAGAGTCCCAACACAACTGGACTGGGATTGATCATTAACTAAAACCAATTCACATGGAATCAATCCAAGATGCACCTGTAGGTAAGCAACCTCCAGACTACATTCTAAGCAGTCAGATAATTATTGTTTACATTTCTTTTCTGAGGCTTCTCAGGAGAAAAATCCTAGTGAAGGGATTTTTCAGAAAATATCATGGGGCACAGGGCTCCCAGGGGCTCTGGAGCACTGGGAGGACTGACTGACTGACTGACCTACTCCTTCTACAGGGCCGTGCCCCAGTGAGACATCAGGAACCCGGTCCCACTTTGCCATGAGTGACTGCCCCGAGGAGTCGTGCTGGAGCGCTGTGGTGCAGCAGCAGGACGGGGAGTCCCTCTCTGTGTCCCTCTGCTCCCCACCCGATGCACGCATCGGCCGCTACAGCCTGACCCTGGAGACCTGCACCGACTACCAGGGCTCCAGCTACCAGATCGGGGACTTCATCCTGCTCTTCAACCCCTGGCACCCAGGTGAGGGTTTCACCCCTCTGAGTCCAGGGGTCCCAGGGCTCAGGAAAGCACAAGATGCTCCCCAGGCACTTTCCTCACAGGTCTCATCCCAGTGCAGATTCCAGGTGTCCCAAGCCCTGAGCTGAAGGCAGGTTTAAGCAGAAAGCCTCACTTTGCTTCCATCTCCACACAATTCCCGCAGTGGATTGGGGCCAGCAGCACCATCCCCACCTTACAATACCCAAAGCCCCTTTGCCATCACCCCAAACACCCAATGGCCTGTCCAGCCTGCCCCCACCATGGTGGGAGCTCACCACTGTGCTGTTGGTGTGAAACCCTGGGCAGTCCCTGGCACCAGCTCCTGGCCAGACAGGGGACAAGGGAAAAGCCTCTAAATGTCCCTAATTGGCTCCAGTGGTCCCTAATTGCCCCCAGTTGTCCCTAATTACCCCCACCAGGTCCATTTTCACCCATCCTCACCCAGGCACCCAGCTGTGGACTCAGTGACATGGATATCAGTGTCCTGGTGAAATTTGGGCAGCCAAACCCAGAGGGGAGGTTCGATTCAATGCTGTAAGGTTCAACAGCCCTGGGATTTTCCTCTCTCCATGTCCTTCCCCTGCCTCTGGACTGGCTGATTTCCTGGATCTCAAGTGTCCCACTCTGGATCTGCAAAGATAAGGGGCCATAGGAAGCTCTGCTCAGCCAGAGCACTGGGGGTGGACATGTGGGGTTTCCTTCTGCAAACATTTCCAGTAAATGTTAATTTCCACAGCAGTAGCTGCTGTGAGAGAAATGGCTTTGGCTGTGCTGAGCCAGCACACCCACTCCCACTGCTCACTGCACCCCTAGGGAGGTCTCCCTGCTGAGAAGAGATCCATCTCCATTAAATAAAAGGGAGGAAAGACAGAGCCATGAGAAAGAATGGAAAGCAAACCACAAACCCGCTGAAATTTTCCCATCACTTTAAAACAACCGGGGCTGAAATTCCCCAGCAGCTGTTTAAGGCATAAGCAGTTCCAGCCCCTGGTGCCTCATTTCCCTCTGGCTCCATCCACAGGGAGGGGGTCAGGCAGCTGGTGGTGCAGGGCAGAGCCCTGTCCCCATCTCTCGCTGTCCCCACAGAGGACACGGTGTTCATGCGCGACGAGAGCGAGCGCCGCGAGTACGTCCTGTCCCAGGACGGGCTCATCTTCCAGGGCACCTGTGATTACATCTACTCCATCCCCTGGAACTTCGGCCAGGTGAGCAGGCAGGATCCCCTGGGACCCTTGGGACCTCTGGCCATGCAGCTCTGGTGCTGCAGGACACAGGGAATGGTGCCACGTGCGTGCCTCTCACCAACCTGCGCCCCAAATGCTGCCAGCACCTCGGAGTCCAGCCATGGGTCAAAGAACCTAGAGTCTCATTTCCAGCAGGGAATGTGCTGACTTCAAAGCATGGCAAGGCAAGGGGAGTGTTTCCCCCTGGCTCCTAGGGGCCCCATGGCCATGTGTCCCTAATCTGGGTGGCCCTGCTGTGCTGGGAGCTGGTGCCTGATAATGAATTCCTGGGCATTGTGCCAAGGGTACTGATAAGGCAGTGCTCACACCCGAGGTGCACCCCCGGGGCACAGGGAAACTTTTTCAGTCACCCTCCCTGGGCAAAGGGCTGGGGGCCGCAGCAGTGGGGGTGCCCGTGGCCTTCACAGGATCCGCACCTCAATTCAAGGAAGGGCTGTGACTCACCCGTGATGGGAAATAGATTTTCCAGGAGGTCACGTCCCTGCCCTGACCCCTGTGCAGTCACAGGAAACCAGATCCAGCCCCAGTACATAGGCAGGAGATCACCCACAGGCTTCACAGGCTGAGTGGGGACTGTGGGGACATCACTCAGGGGATGCTGGCCAGGGAGGGGACCCTGATGGGGTGTGACCCCTGTACCCGACAGTTCTGCTGGCAGGGGCACCACAGCGAGCCAGAGAGGGAGGACAGAGGTGGCAGAGCACCTGTGGGGACCTCACACAACCGTTTCTCCCTGCTCTCCACCAGTTTGAGGATGAAGTCTTGGCCATCTGCCTCAAGATGCTGGACATAAACCCCAAACACCTGAGGGACCAGAACCGGGACTGCTCCCGCCGCAATGACCCCGTGTACATTGGCAGGGTGGTGAGCGCCATGGTGAGTCTGGGGTGCACCCTGTCCCCAGCACCCTGTCCCCAGCACCCCTCATTCCCTGGGCTGCAAACACCCTCAGCTACAGCTCTGGCAGACAGCATGTGCCATCCCCCACAGTTTCACACCATTTTTCCTTCTCCTTCCTTTCCTTCTGTGGTGTTTCGTCTCTCTTTTACATCCTTTCCCTGTTACTGCTCCTATATGTGTAAGAGCTTTTTTAGAGGAAACAAAAAGCAGGGATGGGGCACAGATCATTTCAGGGGTAATCACTCCCAAATTCCCAGGCAGGAGAATGTGTTTCTGAAATTCATCCCTGATTAGCACGATGTCCACCTGCATCCCAGTGAGCTCTTGCATGGATACAGGATATTAATGTGGGTGCCAGTGCATGTGAATGGGGCAAAGGCTTTTTCCCATCCTCCCTCCCTCCCCAGGCTGTTCCTGCCCCTCCATCCTCCCCCTGTTCTCCTGCCACAGGTGAACTGCAATGATGAGGACCGAGGGGTGCTCTTTGGGCGGTGGGACAATCGCTACGAGGATGGGATGAGCCCCATGGCCTGGATTGGGAGCGTGGACATTCTCAAGAGGTGGAAGAATTTTGGGTGCCAGCCAGTCAAGTATGGCCAGTGCTGGGTCTTTGCTGCTGTGGCTTGCACTGGTGAGAGCAGATTCCTCTGGTGTCTCCTTTTCCACAGGACAGGGTCACCCATCTCCCACCCCAGCCCCTGACCCCATCCACTCCTGGTGCTGCATCCTGAGGGAAGAGCTGCAATCAGCCTGCAATGATTCCTTTGCAATTAGCTCTCTATTACTCTAGTTTGTCAGGAAATAGAGGAAAAATATTATACAAAAGGGCTCTGGTTTTTCAATCAGCACTGCCTCCCAGGCCAGGCAGCAAGGGAGGGACTGAGGCAGGCCAGGGTGAGGGAAGTGGCTTTAAGGCCAAGTTTGCAATAAAGTCACGAATCCACTAAGATCAAAATAATGTCATGGCCACCAGGGCAATCAGACTGGGGAAAAACAAGAGAAAAATTCCAGACTTGCTGCCGCTGGGAAACACATATGCTCGTGCAACTTTGCCCCAAGAAAAATGCTGCCTATGAGAGCACTGATGTGTCACAGACAGACAAGACCCTTTTTAGAGGAGAGAAATAGCAAAAAACTAAAGTGGATTTTCAGCATCTCGCCGAGGTTTATAGCCTCCTTTGAAGCACTGTAACTGCCTCCCTGCTCCCTGGGGAGCTCCCTGTGCAGTGAAAGGCAGCTGGGAGATGAAATCCGGGGTTCAGCACGGCTGCCCACACTCTACCTCCAAAGCTCTTGCAGACGCTTTTTGTGCCTTTTTTGCTGCAATATCAAAGCTGTCAGGCTGTCAGAGCAGGTGCCACCCAGCCTGCTTGCCTGTGCACTGTGGCTGAGGGCACTGGCTTCTCCTGGGGAGCAGTCCCCAGGCAGCCCTTTCACAGGCAAAGGGAATGGCAGGAGTTGTTCAAACCTGGGGCTCCAGGGGATAGGAGCTGTGCAAACCTGGGGCTCTGTGGGATGGGAGTGGAACAAACCTGGCCCTGTCTCACCCTGCCCTGCTCCCCACAGTCATGAGGTGCCTGGGCATCCCCACCCGGGTGGTGACCAACTACAACTCAGCCCATGACACCAACGCCAACCTGACCATCGACCGCTACATCAACGAGCGGGGGGAGCAGGAGAGGCAATCCTGGGACAAGATCTGGTGAGCAGCACAGCAGGACCTCAGCCTGCCCCTTCTCCAGAGCCTGGCAGGTGCTGGGGAAGGCTGAGACTCCCAACACTCTGGTTTTCCTCTCAGGAACTTCCACTGCTGGGTGGAGTCGTGGATGACCCGTCCCGACCTGGGAGGTGACTATGATGGGTGGCAGGTGCTGGACCCGACCCCTCAGGAGAAGAGTGAAGGTACAACGTGCTCCACACAGAAGCTCCATCCTCCTCACACCCCAGCACGGCTGGGTCACCCCACCACAGCCACCCCTTGTGGCTGAGCCCTGGAGTGGTGACAGTGGCTCTGCTCCGTGCAGGAGTTTACTGCTGCGGGCCAGCCCCTGTCAAAGCCATCAAAGAGGGTGACATGCTGCCCAAGTACGACATCCCCTTCATCTTCGCCGAGGTGAACGCTGACGTGGTGTACTGGGTGGTGCAGGGGGATGGGATGCAGAAGCAGAGCATCCGCTCCTCAGATGTGGGGAAGTTCATCAGCACCAAGAGCGTCGGCAGGGACAGCCGGGAGGACATCACCCACAACTACAAATACCCAGAGGGTATGGGGGATTTCAGAGGGACACTCCAGGGAGGAATGTTGCTGCTGGGAAACAGCTGCAGCAGGAGGGCTGCAGGGCTCAGGGCAGAGCAGCCCAGGCCAGGCCCTCCCCGCACTCAGGGAATCACAGGGATTTTGTGACCTGCAGGGTCTGAGGAGGAGCGGGCGGTGTTTGAGAAGGCAGAGCATCAGAAGAAATCCATTGGGGAGGAGGATGAGGGGCTGCACCTCAGGATCAAGGTGTCAGAGGGTGCCAACAAGGGCAGCGACTTCGATGTTTTTGCTGTGGTCAACAACAACACGGACGAGGAGCGTGTCTGCAGGGTGACACTGTGTGCCCGTGCCTCCAGCTACAACGGCACCCTGGGGCCCCAGTGTGGCCTCACAGACCCCGTGGACATCGACATTGAGCCCAGGGCAGGTAAGGGACCCTCTGATGGTGAAGGAGATGCTTCACCAGGGCTGGGGTCAGCTCAGCCTGTGTTCAGCTGCTCGGTAGGCAATGCCACTTTGGGGCATCCTCCTTAGCTAACTACCGCTGTGGATTTTGAATCTTTGTGAGAGGATGAGGAAATGGCTCAGGCAGAGGCTGGAAATGCATTTGGAGCCGGGCAAGCCACTGCTGCTGTGGCTGTTATGCCAGGGGAGCAGGCTGGGCACACCCAGCTGCCATCCCTAGGCACCCTGTGGCACTTCTCTGCATCCCTCCTGCTTTCCCTCAGACTTTGGGCTAGGCTGGGCTCTCTGGTGGGATCTTCCCACACCAGAATGGGACTGGCCCAGCTCAGCCCCGAGTGCGTGGTCCCAGGCTGGAGGAAGGGAGCAGCACTGGGTTTCCTGGCCAGCAGCTGAAGCTCTCAGTGTCTCCGTGGGTGGGCGTTTGCTGCAGAGCTGTCCTGGCACGGCCCCCAACCCTCCCTCGCCCTTGTCACACACGTGAACATCACCATCTGGTCCTTGAACACGAGTTTGGGCTTACGTGAGTTTGCAGAGACCCTTCAGGGCTTGGAAAGGCCACACATCTGCTGTCCTGGAACAGGGAAATGTTTACCCTGCGCCGAGCCCTGCTCCTCACCAGCCCTCTTGCAATCGCAGCGCTCGGCGCTGTGCCAGGTGTTGAGCTGCTTTGCGGGAATGAGGAATGTGCTGGCCCTTGCCACCACGGAGGGGAGAGGGATGTGCCTCTGCTCATGCTGGCAGAAGCACCAGCTGGTACTTGGAGCCTTTTGCAGGGCTGGATGGGGGAGTGGGGAGATGTGCTGTGGCCCTCGGCGTACTTAACATTCCTGTGAAAAAGTTAACCCAACACCATTTTTTCTGAAACATTAATTATGAGCTCCTGAAACTTCTACCCTCAGCTCCTGCTTCAGAATACAGACCCCAGGACTTCCCAGGCTGCATTCTTTAGGGCACATCATCACTTTGTGCCAATGTGGGAAGCCAGGCTTGTTCCCCTTCCCACAGTCTCAGCTGATGCTACGGCAACTTCAGATCCTGCCTCATGAATGTCGGGCTCCATTTCCCATGGTCACAGCCACTCTGGGCTCCTTGTTCCAGGCACTTCTGCAGCTGGCTGCTTTCAGCCTCCTTCCCTGTCCTTTCCCTGGACAGCCCCATCCCTGAAGGACTTCCAGATGAACAAGGCTGAGGGCTGAGTGAGGGCAGGTGCCAGGGGCCAGGCTGCCTCCCAGTGCCACGCTGGCTGCCAAGGGCTGGCACTCTGGACCCCTGGTGCAGGTGTCACCCAAACCATGCCAGCAGCAGCTGGGTGCCAGTGCAGGACTGTGAGTTCTGGGCTGGAGATGCTGTGGGTGCTGACCCCTCTCTGCTGCCCTTCCAGAGAAAAGGGTGCCCCTGCGCATCCTGTACGAGGAGTACAGGGACAAACTGACCCAGGACAACCTCATCAAGGTGGTGGCTCTCCTGAATGATCACCAGACTGGCGACATCCTCGTGGCTGTCAGGGACATTTATGTTGAGAATCCGCCAATCAAGATAAGGGTAAGGGTCCAATGTCCCATCCCAGGCAGGTTTGAGGGCAATGAATTGCTGTGATCTCTGGGGGCTGCCCTGGGGCTTGGGCAGCAGGTCCTGCTCCACTGAGCAGGGCTGCATCTCCTGGGACCTGCATCCCTAAGGTCCTGCCTCAGCTCTGGGGCAGGGGGAGCACCATGGCCCTCAGGATCAGTGGGGCTTGGGGTCCAACCTATCCTACTTGCAGATTCTAGGAGAGCCAATGCAGAATCGGAAGCTGGTGGCCGAGATCAGCCTGGTGAACCCTCTCTCCGTGCCCCTGAATGGCTGCGTGTTCGTGGTGGAGGGTACCGGCCTCACCGAGGGGCAGCTGGTCAAGGAGCTGTAAGAGCTTTTCCCCCTTCACCTGGCTGGGGTGTTGGGAGTGGTGTGGGGGTGGATTTCTGTGTGTGGAGCCCCCAGGGAGGGCAGCCATGGGGCACAGCAGGAGCCAGGGCTCTGCTGATCCCTGCGGACTCAGAGTATCCCAAACCCTACACTTTGCTGGGGAAGGGGTTCGGCCTCCCTGCAGAGGTCATTGCTTGCCAAAGCCCCAGCACTGTCCCGCGGGCCCTGGGAGGGTGACAGGGGACTCTGAGGGTGACAGGCCACAGTGACTCCCTGCTCTCCCACAGTGAGGAGCCGGTGGAGCCACAGGCAGAGGCCAAATTCCGGATGGATCTCATGCCGCGGCTGTCGGGGCTGCAGAAGCTGATGGTGGACTTTGAGAGCGACCAGCTGACGGGGGTCAAGGGCTACCGCAACGTCATCATCGCACCCCAGCCCCTGTGAGCTGCTGCCCTGGCCCCCAGCTGCAGGAACCCTGCCTTGCTGGCCCCCCTGCTTCAGCCCAACGTGTCCCAGGAGGTGACTGCCAGAGCCCAGCCTGACCCCGACACGTGGCACCGGTGCCACCCACGCTCCTCCCGGGAGCACAGGCAGGAAAAAGGGCTGGGGAGGGCTGGGGGCTGCCGTGGCAGTCGCTCACTTCACTGCTGCTCTCAGTTTGTGCTGTCTGTGCCCCAGCTGGGCACACCAGGACCCCTGTGCCAGCCCCTCCTCTGTGCAGTGCTGGCAGCCCCAGAGCCATTTCCATAGAGGCAGCAGCAGAACGACCCCTCCAGCCCCTGCCATCATCATCCTCTGACTGCAGCTCCATAGAGAGAGATTTTATACTGTGAGCACAAAGCTGTTTATGCACCATATACCTATAAACAAAATCTATAAATATTTACTGCAAATAACCTGCTTGGGTACAGCCGGGCATTGGCTTTGATAACCATCCTGCCACTGCAGACAGTGCAGGGAGGGATGGGACATTACTTTGATATAAATCAACTATGCAAACACTGAATAAAAACTTTATTTTTCACTTTAAAAGCCGGAACTGGCTCTTCTTGCCCTTCCTCACCCCACAGCAGGACCCAGCAACTCCTTGCCCAGCATCCATGTGGGTGGGGGTGAGTTCTCCCAGCCCAGCACCAGGGTGGGGGGTCATTGCCATGGCTGGCACTGCAGCCACAATGGCCTCATGTTGGCCACCCCTTCTGCCCCAAATCAGCCTGGTCTGGTGTTCTCAGGGTGCACACTCAGCCCCCAAGACACCTTCCCAGGTAATTTCTCCTCTCTCAGCAATGGTTCCATACTGTGCTCAGAGAACTGGAGAGAGAAGACCACAAGTATTCAAACCAACAGATCTTGCACACTGAGCAGGGCTCTGGGCAGGGCTGTCCACCCAGGCTGGGGCAGGTGAAGGGCAGCTGGATCCTGCACAGGGATTTAGGAGGAGAGTGGGGATTTGTCTCACACCTGGAACCGGGGTCAAGGCTCTGCTGAAGATAAACACTTCCCATGCCAGAATGGCCACCCACGTGCTCCCCACAAACAGGGTGGGAGCCTCCCTGCTCCATAAACAAACAGCACAGAAACCATTATAGAGCTGGTGCTGCCTGACTGAGGGGCCCACAGTCACCACAGCCCCAGCAGAGGGGACAGTCTGTGGGACAGGAGAATCCCACTCACACTGACTGGTCCCAGTCACCCTGACGCTGTGGGCTCTCCCATCCCAGCTGTGACCCAGGCTGGATGGGCAGCTGGGAGTGTTTCCCATCAAGGACTGCCCATTCTCCAGTTTTCCTTTCTGTTTATCTTTAGGATGAGATAAAATCTCCACATGCAGTGCTCCACACACAGCTGCTGCTTCCCCAAGCCAGGCTGGGGTTCATGGCCAGAACTCCCCAAACCCTGGCTCTGCTTCCATGGGAGGCCAAGGACCCATCTCAGCTCCAGCCCCAGCTCCTGCTCCCAGCACAGAACTTGAGTGGGCACAGCAGAGCTCAGACCCCATGTGCAGCAGCAGATTGTTTGGCCAATAAAGCCTTTCAAGAAACCCCCCCAGGAGAACCACACAATCCATCTCCCCTTACCCTTTGGAAATTTAACCACCACACCTCCCTGTCCTGCTTTGCTCAAACACAACCCAAAAAGGCAGCTGGAGGCTGGGACCCCCGTGGGGTAGAGTGGGGACAGAGGTGGGCACAGGGAGGGATAAGGATTTGCTCAAGCAGCTCTCCCAGGGGACAGAGAGCACCCACTCTCAGGCATGGGGACAGGGCAAGAGCTCCAGGAGGGAGAGGGACAGGGGGCAGGGGACATGCCAGCCCCAGCTCTGCAGCACCAACCCCCCAGACACCAGTGCCAAGAGCACGTGGAGCCCCAAAGGATCCTGAAGGAGTTAACAGCAGTGCCAAGAGCACATGGAGCCCAAAGAATCCTGAAGGAGTTAACAGCAGGAACCAGAGCTGCCTTCCCTGTCAGGAACATTCCTCAGCCCAGCAATGATGCACGGCCCCTCTTTAGAGCATTTGTTACTGGGCCCTGCTGAGCCAGGCCTCCAGCTGCTCAGCGCCTGGGTTAAAAATAACCAGCAGCTCTGCTGCTTCAGAGCTGGGTCCTGATAAAATAAACATTAGAACAGCTCTTGCTGAAGGTCACTCCCATCCATCTGAGCCTCGGCAGAGCAAGGCTGCTCCGAGAAGGGAAGGCTGTTCTGAGAAGGGAACAGACTCCAAACGCTGCAGTTACGGTTTAGCAGCAGGGGTTGGCTTTCAGGGCTGGGTTTTCTTCCATCATCCACAGAGCTGAGGTTGACTTCCCTGCACCCAATCCAGATCAGCAGCATGGTACCACACTGCATCCATCCCCCTGTGCCCCTCCTGGATCACCAGCAGAGTTCTGGGCTGCATCCATCAGACTCTTTGGCACTCTGACCATGCAAGCAATAAATTATAAATTAAATATTTCCAGTATCCATTGTGTGGGAGGGTTTGTAATTCAGTGCTAGTCCAAGTGCCAAAGCCAGGCAGGAGCATTCTTGGAGAAGAGAGGTTCTGGATGCGTCTCGGCTCGCTGGAGATGCTGACTTGCCAAGAATTGATTGTAAACTCATTTTAGACTTGATGACCTTTAACTTACCTTCATTGATGGATCGAAACTAGAACAAACTCCCATAAATCAGACCTATCACAAGAACAAATCTGTGGGATTTCCAAATGGTACTGCCTCTCCAAAGGTCTCCCTCCTCCTCCACAAACATGGAACACATTTTTACTCTCCTTGGTGCAACAAGACAACTGAGGCACCATCAAACAGCAGAAGAGACAAAAAACCCCCAATGCAGGAGGTCCCTCACAGGAAACCATCCCCTCTTCCACAGCCACAGAAGGTACAGGAGACACCATGGAGAGATGCCTCTTCCAGCATGGCCAACTCCAACAGCCTCTCTGTGCCTGCCTGATCCCTGATGCAGCTTCCCCTGTCCTGCCCCTCGTGGTGGGCTCTGCTGACACACAAACCAGTAAGGACTGGTCAGCTGGGCACTGGAAGCAGAGGGATGTGCTGACTGTCAGCTCCTTGTCCCTTCCCAGAACAAGACAAGCCTTGTCTTTTCCCAGAAACACAAAGCAAGGCTTGTCTTTTCCCAGAAAGACGAAACAAGAGTTGTGTCTTCCCAGAAGGAAGTGACAAGACCCTAAACCTGTGAATGATTTACTACTATCAGTTGTCACACAGATTTGCTCAGTCAGCAGCAGTGCAATGCTTGGCCACCATGCCCCAGCCAAGCTGCAAACCATCACATCCTTCTGCCAAGGGAAAACACTGGGACATGGATTTGCAACCCCTGGCCAGAATCCAACCTTGATGGGTGTAGGCTGCTCTGCACCCAGGGGACATTTCTGTACCCAAAGTGTTCATTTTCCTTAAACACCCCCTCCCACCCTGGCTGGTCCTGGGGTTTCCTGGGTTTTGCCTCAAATCCTGCACCTGACCAGCATGACCACAATTCCACCTGCTCCAGCACACATGAATGCCTGTGAGGCCCCTGGCCTTTATTAAACTTCTTCCTAAATGTCATTACATGAAGCCATTACTGAAAATAAAAATAAAGAGCATGTTTTCTACCTACTGTTGCCTTCCAGCAGTTAAGAGGCAAAAGATGCCTGTGGCACATCCCTAAAGCCAGTGACATCACTGGGAAATGTCTGTCCCAGCTCACTCCAACAGACTGGCGCCAAGTCTGCTGTGAAATTTCATCCAAGTGTTTTACCAGGTCATTTTTTTTCAGAGCATTAGGGACAGCTTATACTTTTTCTAACTAATCCTAGAGATAAATATACATAAAGTTTGGAACATATCAAAACTTGGTCCAAAAATCCAAAGCCCACAGCAGCCTGCCCTGGGTCAAAACTCTGGCAAGCACAACTCCCCACCCTCCCCCCACAGGATGCCTCCAGCACTCCAAGGCTCTGCCTTGGACATCACCATCACAGCCTGGGGTATCACAGTTAACCTGTTAGTCAGGAGTGAGCTCCTCACCTTGTACAGGTGTGTGAGCCCCCATTCCTTGGTTACAGAGTAGGGAATGCACACCAGTGCACTGAGGTACTGAGCTGCAAGGGCAGCTGCCTAACAGTCAAGTATTTTTGTTCCAGCTCTTAAAAAAAAACAACAAAAACCTGATTTGCAAAGGCAAGGAAGGACAGCCAGTACCTTGTCACATTTCTGTCTTTGAAAGCCCCACCTTAGTTCCTGCAACACCACACAAAGGTGGTTTTCACCAGGAGGACCACACCAGCTCCCTCCTGCTCCCACAGCACCGCCCAGCCTCTGCACGGCTTGGTGACAGCACTGCTAAATACAGCGCCTTTAAGGGAAGATTTGTAAATCAGTATAAAACATAATCCGCTTTGCAGATCCTCTCCAGGGCATATGAAACAATCACTGTTTGCCCACAGAGGCTGTTGCAGACTGGTTAATTGAAGAACCCCTAAACCTCCCCAAAATCCCCAGAATTAGCTCCCAAGGCAACGTGAAGACCCCAAAGCTGAGAGGCTTCAATCACACGGACCCTCTGGAACAGCAGCTCCAGGTGCTCGTGCAGGGAGGCACCTTCCTCCCATTCCAGGTTTGCTTTTTATTTGTATTTTTCCCAGAGTAACAACTGACATGTCCTACAGAAATCCCCCATTTCCTCTCTGCATGCAAAACTGACTCAAGGATCTCCCCAAAACACTCCCTGGGCTTTAGAAAGGGAAAAAACCCAAACAAAACCCACAGGGTGCTAGAGCATTGAGGAAAGAAGTAAGGACACTACTGTTCAATGACACCCTCTTTATTCAAAAATAGATATCTATGAGACATTTCAGAATATACTGCTGTCAAATGGCAGCCTATATGTCTAAATTAATTCCTAAGTCAATTAATATACAGATTTAAGCTTTTGTTAAAAAAGACACACTGTGGGTAAATCTGTTTAACCTTCAGAAAATGTCACCCAGTTCACCAGATGCCCTTTGCCCAAAAAGTAAAACAAATAAAATTAAAAACTACAAGACTTCATTTAAATTAAGCAAAATAAAACACACGCATATATTCAGAAAAAAAAAATCAAAACATTTCAATTAAAAAATAAAAAAACCAGACAGACAACTCTCTCACAGATCTGCCCAAAACACAAACGTGAGATGCCAACACATTTGTCTACATCAGTTTTTGACAGTTTTTGTCCTATAATGGATACACATTCAATCAATGCTCAAAATAACTTGGTTTAACAGCCTCAGGGTAACTCTGTGAGCTGAATCAGGATGGAAAAGTCTTTTGGTTTGGGTTCTTGAAGTTTGGTGTTGGGGTTTTTTTTTGTTTGTTTTTCATTTTTGGCAAAAGCAGAGAGAATGTACAGTGTTTAATCTAAAGTATGGACCATAAAAGGCTGCACAGTCAAAGAGACTCAGGGAACACAGAGTTCTGCCACTGGAAAAATTCCTGTAAACTAAAGAGAAAAAAACATCTGTAGGCTGGGCAGGGAGGGTGCAAGGAGCGTTAAAAAAGGACAAAAGGAAGTGTCAGTAGGAAAAGGACGTGAGCTTCTGAACAACTGAATGATCAAAAGATGCTGTGGTGGTGTTTGCTGTAACTGACCGGGCTCCTGAGCAGCCTGACAAATAAATTAATGCGGAGCAGAACGAGCTTTGCATTTCTGCATTTTCTTCTCCTGGCTTTGACACCAGCTCAAAACCACAGGGAGGCACAGAGAGAGCATCTCAGCTCACTTCATCCTCTGTCTTACAAAACCTGTGTTACCAGATCAGGTGTCTCCAGAAACAGAACCTGCCAGAAACAGAACCTGTTTTATAGTGAGAGGTGCTAAATTTAAACAGAATTGTATCCAGATTGGAATGGTTCAGTGATCAGAGTCCAGCTTGTCACACCTAACACACAAACTGAAATGTAACTACACCCCTGGCAGCTAAAACACTAGCCAGCAACATAATGGAATTAAGAGTTTTTAAAATTTACCTTTTTTGTTTTTTACACTTTTCCTGATTATAAAAATCAACTCACAGTCTGTGACACAAAATTAAGTACATCCTTCTAATATCTACATGCATGGACAGGGTACATGTGCATACAGGATATATGCATATATATGGGTCTATTTTCTATATAAATAAATATTTATACCACATTTAACATCTGTGCATCAGACAACTTCACTAAAGCTACAGAGAGAGTTTATATCATTGGATTTTCAATGTAACCATCCTGAGAGCAGACCTAACAGTGCCTGTCACAGGGACACCAGCAGCTGCCACACACCATTCCAGCCTCTCAGGTCATTAAATCAAAGCTTCCATTACCATCTGATCTCATATAATGAAGAGGAAAAATGTGGTATAAATCTAAGGTAGCTAGAACAAAATTTACTTCCACTCCCACTTAGGTAACATCCAGTTCTGCTTTGCTCAGCACAGTGTAAATTATGAGTCTACTTCTAATTTCACAAAGAAAAGCTGCTTATTTTTATTGCCTGTGACTTCAGTTTACATCCATGCCAAATGAGAACTACCTTCACATCAGGCCACAGCATTATGAGGAACTGCAGGTTTAGGAACAAATCTTTCCCTGTACCATTGCTGAGCAGATGCTTCCCCTGACGTGGCACAGGACTGGCATGCACACACATCCCCACGAGGCCCATGAGCCAGTCCACTGCTCCCAGAGATGGGGCTCAGAAACCCAACTAAAACAGATGAGACTTAGAAATAATACAATATTTGCACAGAGAGAAGATGCTGCATAGTCAACCTTCCTCTGGAAGCTTCCCAGGTATGTGTGTACATGATTCGTGATCTTTGTGGGGGTAACAAGTGCTAAGGGCAAACAGCAACTAAAGAGTACAGGAAAAGATGAGAGAAGTTTGCCTAAACAGACCACCCCCACTCCCTTTAGAGCTCACAAAACTCACTCCTCTTCCTCCCCTCCCGTGGGCCAGTGCACACAGAGAGGGTGAGTATGAGCAGCCAAGAGGTTCAAAGCAGGGTCTGCGAGTTCCTTCCTACTGCAGATCTTGGAAGACTGGACTTCCAGCCAACACCAGTCTTCTTTCTTCTGCTGGTAATAATGAAAACTGGGGCACATGGTTTGCTCTAGTCTGTTGAAAACAGGTCCCCAGCAGATGGCAGAGGTGCCAGACCTCCTGTGACATTGGGCAGCAGTGACAGGTCTGGAAGGCTCTGGATGTGAGATTTCAGCTCCTTGCGCACTTGGGTTACCCGGGCGAGCTTCTGTTTGTATTCCTGAGGGAAAGACACAAGAGAACAGAGATTAAGCACAGGTTAATTAACAGTGCTGTTAGTTAAGCCAGGAGTCTCTTCCAGGTGAGGACTCCCAGAAGGTGGCCAGGCCCTGGTGCTCTGAGCAGGGCAGACCCTGCCATCTGCCCCAAATTCACAGCCTGCCCACAGGCTCTGGCATCCCTAAACTAACAACCCTGCCCTGCCTTACTAACTGTACACGTAAAATGTCCCCAAACCAGCACTCACTAGGGCCTGATACAGCATTTGAGAGAAGTGTCAGTGCAGAGTTGCTTTATCCCTGTGTTCCTCCCCAAATACGGACTCCCAGCTGCTGCCACAATGTTCCTGACACCCCTCCACTGCCAGAAGCCACAGGCTGAGGCACACCACAGGTATTTACTATGCTGCCAAAATGCTCATTGCTTTCAAATGTGATCAATTCTCAACACTTAATTAATCCAATTTCCCCCTTTCAAGCTATTAAATCAAACCCAAGTTTTGGTTGTCAAACAGGGCCTCCTTTATGAGCTCACATTACAGCCCTGGCATGGCAGGGACACCATGGAAACACGTGCAGGACCACAGAATGTAAACCAGGGAAAGGCACATCCACACCAGATACAGACATTAACATCTTCAGGATTTTATTACAGAGGGAAAAAAGAGCAAGCTAAAAATCTCCAAAGAGGAAACGTGAAAGTGGTTTTTCCACAAATGAGGTCTGGATTGAGTAGTAAAAGTGCAGTAAGGAATCCCTATCCATGTGCAGAAATTCCCCCAGGACACCAGTGACTTGTGTTCCTAATGAGGAGAGAGAAGAGTTTGGACGCTGAAAATGGAAGAAAGAAAGAACTGTACCTTGGCCAGTTCTGGTGAGAGGCCACTTATGAGCAGCCCAGTACACATCCAAATTATCCAATACAGAAGATTTTAATTAAAGACTGCTTATGCAATTTTCAAAGTTTTGTGATTCTATACATTCATGAAACAGTCAGAGAAGACAACAATTGAAGGACTAAAACTCAAATAGCACATAATTTTTTTTTTGAATGTGCCAGTCTTTACTCAACTACATGTGGCCTACTTTTCATGGCACCTCCAGAATGCAGGAAACAATGAGCTTAAGGGAAAAAAATTACACAGAACAGACTGCCACACAGCCAGCTAGAATATCAATTTACTTTTCATTTCTTAATTACTTGGCAAAGAGAACAGAAGTTTATATCTCTGAAGATCAAATGAAACTAGGCACATGTTTAATCAAAACATCTTTCTGAAGAGTTTACAACTTTAATCCAGACTTTCTAACCTTCTCAGTGATGGAAATTCTCTTCACCTTCTCCAAACATCAAAGCACAGCAGTTCCTGTGGGGTTACAAGCAAGGAGTTTACACTCTCTGTGTTTCATTATTTGGAATTAGAACAGTGAGAGCAGCCGTCAATCGCAACAACTCCCGATACCCCTGCAATGGCTGTGTAAGTGCATCCCATAAATTTCCTGCCAGCACCAAACAGGAATGTCTTTTAATAGCCTGTTTCAAACTTAAATCCTTTATGAGGCTCAGTCAGTTAATATAACCAAACACTTCTGTTAACATACACAGGATACATAGTGAAATAATCAAGTCCAAACAAAGCCCTCCCAGCTCCATGAACTGCAGGGTGCTGTTCTCATGCCTAGAGAACAGCAACAAAAAAAACACTTCAAGGTGCACACCTTAATTTTGTGAGGAGTTGTCTTGCTTTAATGAAAGACAGACTCAGGAAAAAAGTATGTACCCACAGCCCAAATCACACTCTTTTGGGAATTCTTAAAGAGAGAAACAAGTCGAGAAACTCATGAGACGAAGACAGAGAACAAAACCAAACCCCCAGATTCCTTGGCATTAATAAAGAGCAGCAGCAGATAAAGAGGGATGCCATGGAGGCACAGCATTCCAACACTTGGGACTCTTCTCCAAAAGCACGTGGGAGCCAAGGCTGGGGACAGGGAGAGAGTGCCCAGAGTGCTCAGCTCAGGGCTGGCTCAGCCCCAGGGCTGGAGATGGAGACAGCAGCACCCCAGCTCCTGCACACACAGCAGAGACTGCAGCAACATCTACTGAGCTCCAAATGCTGGCACAGAGAGGGTGGAAGAGGCTGGACTTGGAGATCCACAGAAGACCAACTTAAAAATACTTTAAAATCCATAATTCACACCATTGTCAGGCAGTGATGGATATCAAGCCAGGAAAGAATGAGCAGCACTTCTTCCTCAAGAATGCCAAACTGTCAAGAGTGAGTATCAGCAGGTGTTTCTTTCTTCTGCAGTAATTCCCACTAAAGACAGGAACAAAAAATAAGAAGGGCAAGGCAGCTGGCAAGTCCTCCATGTCTGATAAACGGGCAGGGAAGATGAAAAGAAGTTGCAAATTCCAGGCATAAGCCAAGAAAATACCTCAAATATTTGAATTGCCAAGATCCACACAAAACAATTATGGATTTATGGATCCAATTATAGATCCAGAAAAAACAATTACGTAAAACCAGGTACAACCTCCACAGAAAGACTTATGTCCTGCCATTTTCAGGGCAAAACTGAGCAGGATCCATCACTTCTCATGGACAGTCAGGACTGGAATGTGATGGCTTTTGAGCTGAAGATGATTTGCGTGACCATTAGAGTTATATTAGATGCAAATAACATTCCTCTCCCAAGACAGCTACTTAGGGGAGGGAGAATCTTGCCAATGCCTTCCTTGTCTGACAGCCCAGTTCTTATAAAACACATTGACAAATTAAGAACCACCAAGATGTGTCCAAACCACACAGACTTAGGAGCAATTCTTCTGCATATTAACGGCACCAACCAGCTTCCAAATTCACAGTTAACAGCTTCAAGTGTTTAGGACAATATTGCTCTTAGCATCTCCTTATTTTCAGGGATATTCTACACTGAGGGCTACATGGAACACTGAGTTATCAGAAACATCCTCCCAGTTTGAAGAGAGACTTTTGTATGCACATGATGACAAAAAAGAAACATCAAGTCACCTTGAGAACCATATTCCTTTCAATTCTAAGTAATTCCACCTTACTAATAAGTAAATGCAAGCATTATCTAATCAGTACCAAAGGCCTAAATCCTACCTGCTAAAAACCAAACTGTAAAAATAAGACAGAAAAAATTCTCACAAGGAAGAGGCAGTAACAGCCCCCAAACCAAAACTGGCTCAGAAAAACATCAATAAATTCAGGAATGGAAACTAAGGGAGTAATCCAGAAACCAAGATTTCCTAGAATAGATGAATACTTACTGCACAGATTGGATACACATCACAGAGCATGGCAGGAAACTGTCTGTTCCATGCTTAACCCTCTCCATCCCTCTCAGCCTGAGCTGATTCCTGGCAGACCTGTCAAGGAGTGGAGAGACCACGAGCCAGAGCTGGGACAGGGAATGCTGGCTGCTCCCCCCAAGAATACACAGCAGCAGAGACACTGAACCCCTCTCCAGCTTGAGGGCTTTGCTTTTCCCACAAGTTCTGGCCATATTCTGCAACACAGGACTCTGGAAGCAGGTTTTATGGGAAATCATGTTTCTCATGTAGCCCATGACACACCTGGAAACTGCACCTTGCAGATTTTTACACAAGGTCCTTCCATTCCATAAAACTGAACAACACAAAGTCCAGTTAAAAGGCTGCTGCTTTCCAAAGCCTTCATTTGTACTCTGTGTTGAGCTGATTGTCTCACTGCTCAGTAGGTTTATATTAAGATTAATAGTATTTGGATGCTATTTGCTTTTTTTAGACAAAATAATGAGACCTCTGAGTTTCAGGATGATAGAGGAAAAAACTGGCTCTGTGCCACACGGATGCTTTTGCTAATCAATGTTTCCTTTCAGTGCATGGCGTTCTACATCCTCAGTGGCCAAGAGAATTAGATACTCAGTCCTTGAAACAAATGCAAAATCAGAATTAGCCACTGCTGAACGAAGCTGACACAGTGTTTCATTCCAAAGCAGCCGTGCTTGAACATTATAGAACTGGCTGTAATCAACATGACAGGAAATTCATCCTGAGCACTGCTGCGTGGCCTGGTTCACCTTGTCACGTTCCACAGCAGAGATTTCAGCTTATTTTGGCTCAGAGTGTGTACTGGACACGTCCTCTCCTGCGCAGGGTCGAGCAGGAACATGCTGTAAGTCATCACAGCAATTGCATCTGCTGAAAAAACATCTAGCTAAGCATTAATGAGAATTTGGAAAGTGAATAGGAAGAGCAGCCGCTCAGGCGCAGTTTTGATATGATGCAGCTTGAGCCAGCTGTAGGAAAGCAGAAGACCACAAACAAGCCAGGGGAAAAAAGCATCAGAGGCTCAGCAGGAATTTGCAGAGTATGTAGTGAAGTGAGAGTCTGACAGCCAGTGATTATATGTCCAAGTAAAACCTCTCTTTAAAAATATTAAATACACCAGAGTACTGCAGCAGGCTGATTAGGTATTCCTTACCTTCTGCTCCTTGCCACTTAAACTATGCAAAGCACTTTTAAAACATTCACTAGAAAACGAACAGAAAGGAAAACTTCTGCCATTCCACAAGCTCATTGGAGCAGAACCCTCCTCAAAAGCAAAGTGAAACCAAATGCCAGGGTGAAACCAGGTTTCCTCATTCTGCAGCAGCACTAAACCAGAAAATCTGAGGTTTTATCTGAAAGATGCAGTCCAGGAATCAGAGCTTGAATGATGTATTTCCTTACAGAGTCTTCAGTTCATTTTCAACCTTAAATTTGTTCAGTCGTGCTCTTTTAAATTTGACAAGGCTTCTTTCTTCTGTGGCATCATTCATCACACTTCAGCAGAGATGGTGTTTCTGCTCCTGGCAGAATTACGTGCTCTCAAACCAGAACTCGTTTCCTTGCTCTCCCCTTTGTTTAGGACAACAGAAGAGGCAGCAGGAGAGGAGCAGCATTTCTCCAGCTGCTGGGAATGCCTCAACCTCTGCAATGTTCAAAAGCTCT